GGTCATCAAAGCCTTAAAGCAACAGTCCAGGCAGGGTTTCAACTACTTGGTGATTAGGCGGTCAAAACATGCCCGAGCCCAATAAAGTTTATAGGAAATGTCTTTAAGTTCAAAACCTACCTCTAAATGCGCTGGAAGGGGTCGAAGTCCTCTTGGAGGGGGCGGATCACTCATACCGAGGCGGATCGCTCAACATACGCTGTGCAGAGTCCGTGCTTGACTAGCGGTCGTTGCGGGACCGCCGCGCTGTATGAGGTCGATTCCATAAGAACGCAATTGAAGCGCTTCAATTTCGATTGCTGGCAAATAGTTATGTATTTGCAAGCATGCAGCTATTTGCCAGCAGTTGCAATTGGAGCGCATGTACTACGGGCAGGTTCGGACAACTCGTCCAACACACGTCTCCCTAAACGGCAGGGGGAGTCCCTGTCTAAGCCCCTGCCCGACGTTTTTTTCTACTTTTTCTTTCTCCATTGACCAACTTCTCACCTGCAACGTCATTATAGGTGGCCGGTCTCTACCCGCGAATTCGTTCCTGGATTGTTGCTTAAGTCTTTTAAAGGCCGCTTCGATGATGGACTATAAACTACGTGGGCGCAAGCTGTTCTTTTAGACTCCAGCTATATTCATCGTGGTTGTTATACCTTTTATCTTTGCTTCAAGTTTATGTTCGAAATGGGCAAAAGTCCCATTTTATCACAGCGTTTGGGGAAATCGTGCTCTTGGTTTCACTTCTTTGAATTCTCCAATGCCTCTATAAAAAGCTTCTCCCGAATTCAACAGGAAGTTAGCATTGGCATGTTTTTCGAGTCCACTATCCCAGCGGGTGTGTCCCTCACAAGACGCCGCTTTTTGGTGGCGTCTTAACTATGGCCCGCGGTCGCCTCCTTATTCGAAAAGAAGAGTTCATTGAAATTCATCATTTCAGTCCTATGACGGCGCTTAATTTTTTAGGACTATGTTATATGTCTGTTGAATATCAAGATTCTAAATTCGCTCTCATGGGGAAATTAGGAGCGAGTTGAAATACCGTCAGTCAAATCCCTAGACAGCCATAATCTTTTGGCAACAAGCCAAACAACCGCTGTTATTGCTTTGTTGCCTTGCGTCTATGGAAATATTCCATGCGCGTTTGACTAAGATGTATGCACAGCTTCCCTTGTTTACCTAACTTACTCACTAGTAATGGATTTACTGAGTGGAGTCTGGACCTGAGAACAGGAGAAGTTTTAAGACTATGCAACGCTGGGTAACGAGGGGGGTAGAAGGCACTGGAGCTCACTTCCCTTTAATGACTTGGTCCAGAATAGACTTATAAGAACCTTTATTCAAGGTTTATTATTATCGATTAGTGATACGTGATAAGTCAGATATAAACAGAAAGCAAAGCTCTCGAAAAAGAGCTATAGATCCCGAGGTACGTCACAAACTCTACTCCCAAGGGGATTTTTAGCTGCATTTGAGAGCAACCTGACCTACTCCCTGTGTTTCGAGGGCCGACTAGTGATCGCTCCTGTGTTGGTATTTTCCTGAACTCTGTTCTGCATTCCGTTATCGAGTGAAGGGAGGCTTGGTTTCCCCCAGCAGGGTTCGAAATAAAGCTCTACCTGACGACCGCGCATGCGGTTGGTGTCACTGCTTGCTACCTAACCACCTTTCCCTTTCGAGGGGAACTTTCTGATTCGACTACCAAATGATGAAAAAGTTCCTATCGGCTATAGGTCCTCCCTCCGCCATCTCTGAACACAGCCCATTGTACTTGGCAAAGAGCAAAGGGCTTGTTTTGTCCGTCTCGACGCGACGTGTCTTTTTTGTGAGTCTCCGAAGAGAGATTTCCGCCTACTGAATGATCCCGCATGCTCCATTATACACTGAATCGGCTGTTTTCTCATATATCTGTGGCCAAGCAGGATCTTTTTGTTCCTTCGGAGTGATTTCATGCTTTCTAGAAACTCAGCACTATCCGCTTCCGTATTGTTGGTTTCACGGCATTACAAATTTGATGTGATTCCGTTGGCACTCAAAGAATATTCATTCTTGAGCAATCAGGCGTAGGGCGCGTATGGCTAAGGCGTCAGCCATTGCTATCTGCCACCATTACTACGGGTACTACCTCGCTCGTGTCTTATTCGCTTTTTTTTCGGATTCCTGACAAGTTGTTTGACGACACATTTCGTTCTAAAGAGAACCATCTACATTCTGAAAACGCGCCTTCGAATGAGTTTCTGTTCTTTCACTAAAACACGCGTATAAAGCCAATAGGTTTGTCAGATGTCCGATTTGCGATCTTTCCCTCTTCCGAGAGTAGTAGCCCCAAGCCGTGTCGTCCAGCGCCTTTTCAAGATTGCGTCCATGCATTCCCTACCGTTCAACATTCTGATAATTAGTGTCATGTCGAGTAGCTGACTTCTGGTTGTATTACAGAGCAATCGTGGATCCTCCCTAGCGCTCACTTGAGATTATTAAAGGAATCTTCCACGGACCATGGACCAGTGGGCGGGACCGGAAGTGGTTTTGCGACGAAATGCATGGTAGGTACGGATCCACGTTCATGGGAAGGTTTGAAGTGAATCCTGTTCACGTTCGTGCGTTCGACACGTGGATCCGTACCTACCATGCATTTCGTCACAAAAACTTCCGGTCCCGCCCACTGGTCCATGGTCCGTGGAAGATTCCTTTAACTCCTAAGACTAAGTCCGGCTTCCGTTCCAGTTCACAAACAGAGCGTCTGGAAGGGTGGTTGACCTGGAAGGAGTTCGATCCAGTTGGAACGCTGCTCATTAACCCATTCGTAACAGTGGCAGCCACCGGTGGCTGTCAAAGATCTCACTCGGGGCAATGGTATCCAACCAAGGGTGGCTGTCGTATTTTGCATGGAATTTCAGTAAGGTTTTTCATTCAGCACCTGGGAAAGAATCTTCCATGACCACCCTCATTCATCTAGGTCAGTCCCTGGCAAGGAAATTCTCCATCGCACTGGGTATTCATTATTTTATTGAATGAAAAATCCCGTGCCGACTCTCGTCTACTACCGCGCTAATGTCCCGGCGCGATCTGTTCGCCCCACCTGAGTTAAATATCATTCAAACAGACAAGATCGCTTTGGTCAACCTGACCTTTTGCTGATTCGATTGTTCCATAGGACGCTTTTTGTCGCTGATCTTCCCTCCTCTTCCCCCCTTCCCGCCTTTGTTTCCCACCCTGATTAAAGAATTCTCCGATAATATGAATGAAGACGTTGCGTCAGTAGAAAGTTACTCAACTTTGTGTTCCACCTCCTTTTTAGAACTCCTAAAAATAGGCTAATCCCTGAGCACGTATACCAGTGCGTTACAACTTTGCAACCTACTTGGTAATCGAGCAGAGCAAGCAATGAAGCAGTCAAGCAGGCATCAAAAATCATCTCACAGCGATCCTACTCGATATATTTTTTCAAGAACGAACGTGCGCGCAATGATCTTCTGTCTACGTGCCGTAAATGTTACCCCTCACCTCCGCGGCCCTCCTGTTCGTTATAAATGACCCTGGAGGGGACAAGCGCGACTGTTTGACCCATAGCTACCTAATCGTTCAATCCTATCGAGAACCAAACCGGATCACCAATGAACGGCCATCGTTGGTGTTCCCAAACTAATTTCGATCACATAGAGATTAACCTAGAAACACTTTTTCTATCACGGGAACGCGCCATTGTGTGACATGATGACCTTGTTTTTTTCCTCTAGATTTCCTTAGGTTTGCAATTGTGTTTGTGTTTCACGTGGCGAAGGTTAAATATAGGTAAACAAATGAGATATGGTGAAACAGGACGCAGTATTCAAAAACTCGCAAACACGAACACACTAAACTACGCCGACCCGCAAATGCCGGCAAATAAGGACAAAAGATAGCATTGAATGGGGGAACGCCTGTGCGTTTAGTTATTTGCCTTATTAAGCATTAACGATATCTAATAGACAATCTCCGGGAGCTTCCCACTTTTGTGCAAGATGTTGCTTAATTTGAGTTTATTTTAATTCACTGCTAACTGAGTAGGTTTTCAAGGAATTATTGTGTCGCACCTAAAAGGGCACAGTAGTGAGTAAACAAATAAACAGATATTTTTTATCAATATTTATGTTGCCGACATGGCAGCTGCTGCGGACGGTAGTGCTCAGCTTGACGTTTACCTTACTTCTAAATTTCATTCAACTTTCCTTGCTTCTGTCTTTGGTCTAGTACTCAACAAAAGTGGCACTCACATAAGTATGTAGTAAATAAATAAATAAATAAATAGTAATAAAACTGAGCAGTGGTTGCTGATGCTTGATCATAATTATAAGGTGGATGCGCTTAGGGCCTACTGGGTGAACCGAGGCTTAAATCCACTTCCACCTTGCAACCATCGCACCTCAGGCAGCTCACTCCCTCTTAGCCCCAAATACGGTCCCATTTTTGTCAGAAAGTAGCAGGTAAGGAGTATGAGGGCTCCACTTTCCGATTCCGATTCCGATTTCGATTTCCCGGAGATCGGATCTTGCACCGATTTGCGTTTGAGCCGACCAACTATTCCTGGAAAGGGCAGTTCCTAGCTCTTGACCCCAGTAAAAAATGATTTCAAACAAGTCGTTGGCCCCAAAAGTAATTGTACTGACCGCGGTGCCACGAGTGGACCAGAGCTAAAGCGTGTGCATCTCAAAATTTAAGAATTATTCGTTATCAAATCACTTTTAAAGGAGGAATTCACGATTAGAATGAAGGTCGAAGAAAAGTAATTGACCTAGTTGAGGGACCCACGGACCTCCTGAGGGTGCGAACTGACGCGCAATTCGCATGAAAAATTTGACCTCGGCGACCTATTATGCCTCAAAGTTGGCGGGTCTGGCGATCTCCGCCCACCGATCATCTGATCACTCGCCGCAGTCTATACGTGGCGAGTGATTAGATAGCAGAGAGAGCGTAGTGTTGAAGAGGGCACAGCGATGAGAGTCGCATCAATGCTCAAATCAACGGGCAAGGAAGGGGTCCCATTTCTCGGGTTCTGGGCCGTTTCTCATGGTTTTCCTTCTTTCGTGTACCACTCACCATCCCTAGGTTAATTTGAAATGGGTTGCCTTTTCATCGTGAATTCGTCCTTTAAATACTTCATATTCAGT